TGGACCAGTTCTCGCGACAAACTTCACTCACTTCCGATTACGGTCTTTTCCATGTTGTGGTGCAGCTGTGGAAGCTGACATCGTTCTCCGCTGAAGGATGCAAGGGAAACAAGGCCGTCTCCATACTGCACTATCCTCAATGCGCAGCATTCACGTCGATATCAAAGCCCCCAGCGAAACTCGCATTCGCCGCTAGAGAGCAAACCGAAATAAGAGAGGACATAGTTAGGTCGCGTGCTGTGCTATGGTTAGGCGTGCGACCGGCCGAGCGGCAGAGCGGTCGGGGGATGGAGCCAGCACCCGGGTACTACTCACTCCAGCCCCACTCCAGTGCGCTTTTGACCGGAGAAAATGACACCCTACTACAGCTGCAGACCCATTCTCTTTCCGTGTGGCAAGGACAGGGATCCACGAGAGTGAATGCACAGTTTGTATTCAGACCTGATCGCGCTGATTCTTCCCGAAGAAAAATTCGCAGGGCACCTCTTCTGGTACCTAAGTTGTTTGTAACCGATGTGGTCAGTGTGAGTGACACAATGGAGAAGCCCCTATAACGAGTGAGTCCCCGAAGGGGTTAAGGAGCAGAGATCGCAGGTGCGACAGCCGGCGTGAGGATCGCTCCATGTGGCGTAGCGTGCACGACACCTGGGCCTAAGTTAAAGTGCTAGGAGGAGCCGTGGGTGCCAAGATGGGTCCAGTTTCTCGCGGGAGCTCAGATTTCTCGCACCCTCGCTCACAGCAGCCTCGCAGAACCATATTATTGGCTTACCTTGCCTGAATTATCCAATCCAACAACGACAACATTCACTTGCTTCCGACCGACACCGAGTATTTGTGACAGTGTCGATAGGAAACCCATTCGTACCTGAAATGACATCAGAAAGGACTCTTTCCACAAAAAGCTAGTGATTGATTGATAATGCGTTCTATTACTTCTGCGTCAACGAGTGTTTAGGGATACTTTATTCCACAGCCTAACTGTTTCATCAATCGTGTCCTCAAGAAGCCAAGTCCACCCGCATGAGGTGACGTCTAGCCTTGATAAAAGTTCCACCTAAAAACCTCGTAGACGCAAAGTAATAGAACATCATACTTTATAACCAATAGCCGTCAGGTTCTACCTAAATGAGAGAATTGGAGACGATGATATGCGATTTATTCGAGGAAGCCGATTGGAAGAAGCAGAGTATGAATGTATGGTACCGATCGGCCAGGGTTGAAAAGTCAAGCTTGCCATATATTATTATCACTGGCAATATTTCAATATATATGATCTCAGTTAGAGATAGCCCGATTTATGAATACTCCTATCACTTTGACCAACAAATCGTTAAAGTGGACACTTTTTAGCTACTTGGCGTTCAGTGGAACAACTTTCAAGTTTAATGTCAGAATTAAAGTCTTTCCGTTTTTTCGGTCTATACGCCGCCTCTGGACAAGGTATATTTCTGTCCGCACCGGGGATGTCTCATTTTTGAGTCAGCCGCCTGAAAAATGGGTTGATAAAAGAGAGTACGAGTGGCTCGTACCGCGCGTTCCCCATCTCTAACTTTCCTGATTACCTTCACTCTGAGGTATTCCCTGTGGTGCTTGTTCCTCTAACGTGTACTACTGATATCGTCGTGATACCAACAAGTGAGAACTCATCCAAGCATGCCTTCTCTCTGATTCATGCTCACCCAAGCTCTCCGGTAAGAGCTCTCACCTAGAGCACTCCGGGGAGGTTTTTCCCCCCTCACTTCTTATTCACTAATGAGGTAAGGTGAGTTAGCTACCACTCTGTTGGTACTGCAGCCGCACTATCGACGCTATTATCCTTGAAGGAGGCAAAGGAAGGACTTCTAGTGCAGAACTAGAATAAGGGCCAGCGGAACCAATTTGAAGACCAGTTATTCTTCAGGTAAAATTAATGCTGTCTTGCATAAGACGACCACAAATGTCCTCTCCGAGGTTTTTAGCCCACTCAACATCATTTTTTCCAAAACGCGAGGCATGCCATCAGTGAATTTTGAACGAATGCCATCGCCGTATGAGCTATGTACCGTAATCCGATTGGTATTGACGTCAGAGACGTGTGTCGGCGCCTTTCATCTAGGTTACCGTAATCGATCACGCCTTTCGAGAATTCATTCGCATCGCTGCGCTGCTCTGTGACCATTTGCCGTACTGCTAGGTTATAAGAGTTCAACTTATGTCACATATGGGTTAGGCACTGTGTCAGGGATTGGATTTATTACCAGTGAGAAGTCTTGGGGAAAGTATTCCATAAAAAGGCTAGATTACTGTTCAGAAATTGTTAGACATAGTTTGCAATTACCCTGACAAGAGGAGCTCCAGAAGCAGGCAGTTTCTTCAATTCAGAAATACTGTAAATGGAACTCCAACACGGCATGCGCTCAGGCTTCCCCTCCAGCTTGTCGCTAGCTGCTGTGGTTTCATGGTGGATTGTATGATCCGATGAAAAAATAAAACATGAGAGGCGAGCAACATCCCCGTTTTTTTACTCTTTCAAGAATTTCTGTCAGCGATTGGTATGGGGGTCGCGATCAGGGCACGTCGTACGTTGAGGATGTCTTTGATGGTGAAAAGGAGTCGTAGCAGGGGAGGAAATTTTACGGGGGAGGGGGAGGAGTCGTATCTCGCAGGTCATTTTCCCGAGACGTGCCGCAGTCGAACTTTTCCATCCAAAGGAAGGGGGGGGGTAAAGGGTAATATTGGCGAGACGATTATTATACCCTAATGACGTGGCAGCACGCAGGCCTCTCTAAGTAACTGGCAGAGAAACTTGGCTGTATATACTTTGTATGAGCTGAAATTACTATTGATTAACAGTTCAAATGTGTTTATCGTAAGTTATTCGTAACTGGTTATACATCTTATGGTACAGTTGCCGCTCACAGTTCCATTGTTAGAAGCTATTGTTCTCTCGCGTTTCATCGCCTGGATTGCGCAACGCCACGAAAGCGGGCGGCACCTTACGCATACGGCTTTCACACAGAGATGCGACAGCCGTAAACGAGCTCTGCGGATTATCCCATTTAACGAGCACCACTGGCTCGACACATATATCATAACACTGAGATCTGATAGGACTCATCTCATCGAAGAAAGGCAGGATTTCCGGGGCGGGTGAGGGTAGGGGGTGAGGAGAAATTGCGATTAGTGGTATCTCTGGCTATGATGAATTGAACATTATAGCAACTGGAGTGTGACGTTTCACGCGAAAAACACCCTCCACTTAGACTGAGTGGATGTCCCACATTAAGACCCATGAAAACCAAGAACTATGGGTTCTACCAACTTCTCCCAATGCTTAGGATGAGCTATGGTAGAGCAGCTAAGAAACACCACAAAGCAGTGCGAGCGTCGAAAGCCATCCCGGCTTACTCAACCACATAGTTGGCTGGCATCAATCCCGTCTTTTCTGAAATTATAAAAACTCTGCCACATGGGCTGACCCTACAAGTCGGAGGCGCATCCAGATATCTTCCCAATTCAAAGTGGTACGCAAGTGCGTGGGGCACTCCAACGGTATCACACGAAGTACCCAATGTTATCATTTCAGGTTTCTGGTTATTGTGATGTATGGAATTTTTCGAAACAGCCTTGACAATAACAACCTTAAAATTCAACGACGGATGAGCTGCTTTTTGATAGAAAACTCGTTTGCTACGCTGGAAAGAAAAATTCTCTGTGCTGAAGGGCAAATTTGTGAAAAAAACAGCAGAAAAACAGTTAAGGAACTTTTGTAGGACCCCCTCACATCCTTGACGTGTGGGACGAATACCACACCAGGAAACCTTAGTTAAATTCCAAAGGAAAAGTAACATTCATCTGAGCTATGAGACTGATACTTACCTCGTCGTTTTTCTACTTCCATTACCTCAGGTAATGTCATATAGAGAAGAAGAGTCGCACTGTGGCAACGATGCTACAAATTTCCGCGCACTATGTGCAGCCAGCACAAAAGACGAATCGCACTTTGTGAGAAAAACTCGGGAAATTAGAGGTCGAAACCTACGGGTTGGGAGCCCGTGCTTATTCACTCTTTTACGCCATTTCGACATCCTTCCGCGATACAAGATTGGCATGACTTATTGTTAGCTCCTTATTGTTACTTCAGCACTCTAGGAACGATCCTATCTTTCAAGTGATCATGAGCATTTGAAATCCATGGCTTACTTAACACTCACTAGGGAGGTCGTTCAGGACGTGGAGCGCTTTTTGAAAACGGTTTTGCATGATGTGGGGTTACGTGCATGGAGTACCAAACTGGTGTTCATTTTTCCTGAACGCCTCTGGGAATGCCAAAAATGGAGTGAAAAAGAAGAGTCATGGAACGACTTTTTTGAGCCTGAAAGGCTTCTATTATCCATCGCAACTTCGGCAGATTGCTGCCTATAGATCCTTTAAAGGTACTGGTATCATCGAGAAAAGTAGCGCCAAATGGGGTCCTAGCTTTGGACGATAGTCCCAATCTGGAGCCAAGTCTCTCTCCCTGGCAGTCGCCTATGATACATTCGTTTGAGGGACTTGCAGGGGCCATTTCTGACGCCAGATTGGGTTGACGTCAAGAATAAGTGTCAGAATCGTGATCAGGACCATCGATTACCCCTATAGGCAAACTTTCGGCCAAAAAAATTTTTGACTTTTTTGAGTTGTGATAGACCGACCATTTGGTCGTCGGTGATGACCGGAGACCCACAACTTTGGAGCTGCGATGACGTAGCGATGACGTGGTGGGCCGCCGGGCAGCCGCATCGCGCGGATTTGGTGCTCATAAGGTCCATTCATACTTGGCATGGGCATGGGTGGCCGCAGAACAAGTGAAAAACCATCCTGGACATTTGTCGACCCCGCGACGGCTCGCTCAACGAAGATGTCGTCCTCCCCTACCAAGAGGAGAGACTCATCCGATTTCTTCACTTTTTCAAATGCACCTGGAGGAATGATGACTATTTTGTTCTTTTTTCGATGGCGTTTATGGTTGTTGCTAGTTTTTTGTTTCTACCCACTGAATGAGGGTTTCGATAACCAGCAAAAGTACGACTTC